TATGACTAACCTCGCCAATGACAACCTGCGTTGCCCAAGCCAGACCTACGATTATGTTGGCAACAGCGCGTGCACACATCTATGGGGATGCAGCAGTTCAACGATTGGTTCGAATTTTGTGCGATCCAGGTTCGCAGGTTAGTTTTATTAAAGATCGCTTAGCTCGCTTAGAGATTAAAAATACACAAATGCGAATTGAATGTAGAGGGGATTGGATCGAGTATTAGTACTCGAACTACGGGTAGTGTTATTGCAACCATAAAGTCATTGCATTCAAACTTTGAAACCAAAATCAACGCTTTGGTGATCCCGTCAATCACATCGGACACTCCTGCCGTGCGTTTAGACGTTAACCAGTGGCAACACCTGGCTGGCCTTGATATGGCCGATATTTATTTTGGTACACCTGGGGCTAGAGACTGCCTCATTGGAGCTGATGCCTGGGGTAGAATCGTGGAGGGTCACATCATCGGTGGCAGACCAGATGAACCTTATGCTCAACGCACTCGCCTTGGTTGGGTAGTTTTTGGTCCAGCGTCAGAAGTTTTGTCGAAGGAGAACTCATCGCTCGTGCTCAGCGAAAAGCTAGTCGAGGATGATTTGTTGCTGGAAGAATTAGTTCACAATTTTTGGAAGCTTCAGGAGGTCCCCGTGTGTGCATCAGACGATGATGATGAATGTGATCGAATATTTGCAGCCACACACTCCCGTACTAGTAATGGACGTTACGTGGTGCAGCTGCCGTTCCGCCGCGATGCACCGAGACTTGGCGAATCATATGCGCACGCTCTTCGCCTATTTCAACGCCTAGAAAGACGTCTCGTTGGTGACTCTGAGCTTAAAGATAATTACATTAAGTTCATGCGTGAGTACGTAAGTCTTGGCCATATGGAACCCGTAAATAACGTAGGTGATCACACCAACGGCTACTACATTCCCCACCACGCTGTAACCACCAAATTTAGAGTGGTGTTCAATGCATCGGCACCAACTAGTACTGGCGTGTCACTAAATGAGGTGCAAATAGTGGGCCCGACCATCCAAGACCCGCTCATCAATATAATTTTACGTTTCCGACGCTATAGGGTGGCCCTAACAGCCGACATTGAGAAAATGTTCCGGCAGGTACTCGTTGCCCCCAAACACCGAGACTTCCAACGGATCCTTTGGCGCGAGTCACCCTCGGATGAACTCAAGGTATATCGACTAACAACGGTTACGTATGGTATGGCGTGCAGCCCGTATAATACCATACGTGCACTCCAACAATGTGCACGCGACAATCACAACGTAATATCGGACCACCGGCAAGCCGCGAAAGCGCGCGATACCATTTTAACGTCATTTTCCGTTGACGATTTTTTGACCAGTTGTGAGAACGCAAAGGACGCTAAGGTCTTAGCTCACAATGTTGATGAAATTCTCTCCGCTGGGAAATTTACATTGAGGAAATGGAACTCCAATGATGCTGAGGTAATGGAATACTTGACCGGTAACATTTCTTCCTGCGCTGGCTTAGAAATAAACCCTCCTACGGCTTCCGTACTTGGATTACGGTGGGATGCTGCCGCTGACCAGTTCTTCTTCCAGGTGGTTCTCAAGCAAGCAGGTCCTACACCAACTAAACGACGGGTTCTCAGCGAAGTTGCTCAGCTTTTTGATCCCACGGGCTTTTTTGGCACCGGTGGTGGTCCAGGGTAAGGTGTTTATACAGCGAATGTGGTCCGCTGGTCTTTCGTGGGATGCACCGTTGTCTGATGATCTTCGCGACGATTGGATAAACTATCGGTCTATCGAGGAGGTACTCAACAAAGTTCGTGTAAATCGATGGTTAGGCATGGCGCACGGTGTGCAAACGACTTTACACGGCTTCTGCGATGCCAGTTCGCAAGCTGTGATTTACACAAGAACTGTAGGCGCAGGCGAAAGAGTACAACTCGCATTGCTGACAGCGCGCACTAAGGTGGCTCCACTTAAGGGATCTACCATACCACGTCTCGAGCTCTCGGCAGCGCTCTTGTTGGCAGAATCACACCAAGCTGTAAGAAGCGCTTTGGGTTTGATGAACGCCCCCTATTATTTGTGGTCGGATTCGTCGATTGCTCTTTGTTGGATAAAGAAACACCCAACAACGCTTAAGCCATATGTATCGAATCGAGTACGCCAGATTCAGGGGCTCACTTCCTCCGATCGATGGCATCATATCCGGTCGGCACAGATCGAACTGCTGGAGCATCCGCTTTGGTGGCAGGGCCCAGGCTGGCTGGAGAAAGACATCCCTGTAAGAAACCAAGCGCTTCTCCTCCTTGGGGACGAAGCGAATACAGTAAGTGCCGAAGAGCGCACCATTTCATGCACTGCAGTTATCAGTGCTGCGCGATCTATTGAAACACGACAACGTAATGGTAAGGTCATACTACTCACCGAGCGCTTCAGTTCCATCCAACGCCTTCTAGGTACAGTGGTCATTATCCTGCCATGGCTTAGTTCACGTCAACATCTGCGTAAGCGGGTTATAGGTGCAAGAGAATTCGACGATGCATTAGACGTTTTGATTCGTATGGACCAAGAGGATGCCTTTGGCAGTGAGGTCAAGCAGCTGAAGAGCGGAAGACACATCGCACATTCCAGTCGACTTATGCCGTTGAATCCCTTACTTGACGACAAGCACATGTTGCGAGTGGGTGGACGCATTCAAAGAGCTGACTTATCATACCAGCGGCGTTTCCCAATCCTCTTGCCGCGATCCAGTCCTCTGGTCACGCTACTCGTCCGACAAGTTCACGAACAAACCCTTCACGGGGGAGCGCAACTGATGATTCAGACTCTCAGACAGCGCTTCTGGATTTTGAATGCCCGCCAGGCCGTCAAGGGAGCCATCCACCGCTGTGTGATCTGTCGTCGACATCGCGGAGCGTTGTTGATACAACAGATGGCCCCAGCGCATGATGACCTAGGCAGCGCGTTAGCGCTGCACGACCTTTTGCTGCTTCCGGCGTCGACTATTGTGGTCCATTTATGTTGCGTACGGGAACGAAACGCTCTCGCACAATGGTTAAAACCTACCTCGCCATTTTCATTTGCATGGCAACAAAGGCTGTTCATCTTGAAGTGGTGGACGACCTCTCTTCTCAGGCGTTCCTTGATGCGTTCACCCGCTTCATTAGTCGACGAGGACCATGTCGCGATTTGTACAGTGACAATGGCACGACAATGGCAATGGCTAATCGACTATTACAAGAAGATCTTGCCGCCTGGTACACGGACAACAATCAAAAATCTTTAGCAGCTATGGGTACGCAGCGGCATTTTATTACTCCAAGCGCGCCGCATCAAGGCGGGCTCTGGGAGGCTGCCGTCAAGTCTGCCAAACACCATCTAGTTCGCTGTGTTGGTGCTCAAACGATGTGGCATAACCAGATGCAGACTTTGGCGGCACGAGTTGAGGCGTGTCTAAATTCGCGTCCCATCACCCCACTTCATGACGATACGGAGGACAAGCTCGCCCTTACACCTGGCGATTTTCTGGTTGGCTCCCCGCTTTTAGCCGTACCCGAACCTGATGTCCGCCAAGCCCCTACCAATCGACTGAAGCAATGGAAATGGTTGAAGCAGGTCCACCAAGAGTTTTGGCACTGTTGGAGCGACGAATATTTGTCTACTCTTCAGAGGCGAAATAAGTGGCAGAAGCGCATGCCCGATATTAAGATCAACGACGTCGTCTTGGTAAGGCATGAAAATTTACCTCCAACTCACTGGCGGCTGGGTCGAGTGATAGCGGTGCACCCTGGAGGGGATGGGGCCATCCGAAATGTGTCGATAAAAACTAGTAGTGGATGCCTCACCCGGGCAGTACAAAAATTGTGCCGCCTCTTGGACAGCGAAGATTTCGAGACGAACGCCTCGACCGGGTAGGATGTTCAATATGATTAAGTAACTTAAGTACTTTAGAATTAATGCAACCTTGTTTTCTATTCACTTGAATTCATTTGCTTCGAGCCTCGACTTTCGAGTATTGATGATTTGACATTTCCTTTCATTGTAGATCTTACTTATTTTTTCCAAGGTATAAAAGGCAAATTTCAACTGTAAAAGTTCTTCTTTCTTCAATAAAGGATTATATTGGTAACATCATTGTAACAATGAGTTTAATATTATTTGTGTTCTGCTTTGTTCTACATCAGTGTTGGCATTTTTGGTACATTTGTACTTTTCTGATACAATTTCGTTTACTACGCAGCATGGGCGTAGCCAGGTAGGGGCGAGGGGTGCTCGAGCCCGCATCCCTTCCCCCCCCCCCCCCTAACTTTCAATTTTTCCTTATATATATATATAAAATAGTACCCTGAAATGCCAGCTTGGTTGATTCGGATGGAAGATGAGATGCTTTTTCACGTGGTGAAAAGCAGAAAATCCTAACTTGCTTAGAAGTGTACTAAAAATGTAGAGAAAGAAGAGTAAAAATACGACAAAATATAATATATTTATACGATGAACTATAATAATATTCCGACTAACAACAACACTTACTGGACCAACAACAACACTTACTGGACGTCCGGCGCGGAGAACAATTAACGAGATAATGAGAAACTGACGAAACGAGTTGCTTACTTTTAACAGCTTTTTCACAGAAAACTAGTTTTCGCACGTAGACCAGGTCACATATACGTAGCTCAGAAAATTCCCTGCGGGAATTCGTTTTATCTTTTTGTCTTCGCCTTTGTAAGTTTTGAAAAAAGGTTTTGAAATAATCATTATAACATAGCAAAAGGTGTGCTATCAACCTCACATTCCTAGGCAAGTTTTGAAAGAATGTTTTCGATACTAAATCTTATTAAAACAAAATGTCGAAATCAGCTTCATATAGTTAGAAACAGTGTCATCGTTAATTCTTTATGTTCTTAAATATCATAACTTCACTACACTCATATATTGACTAGAGTTGACTATTTATTTTATTGTTTTTTAATTATAATTATTTTCTTATAAAGATATAGTTAATTCCTTAACAAAAACTGTATGAAAATATGTTTAAATCTTTGAACCACATTAAAAAAATCGACAAACTTTCGTAAACATTTCGAGCTTTCTATTTCAATTTTAGTATAATAAAGTGCAAGTTTAAAACAGCTGGAATCTGCCGTCAATGTTATATTGTCTAAACGCGATATTTTTTTTAACGAAGCAAATGAGCAACACCTTCATCAAAAAAAATATATATATATATTAAAAGTCAACGATAAGTCGCAGCTATTTTAGACTTGCACTTCATTTAAATTGATCGGACTACAAACGGCATTCTCAAAACATGTATTTCTAGGAAATCGAGTTGAAAGCCCGAAATTTTTACGAAAGTTTGTTGATTTTTTTAATGTTGCGTAAAAATTGATCCTTGGGGTTTTATTAAAGTATAAACTGCATTTTTATGCAAATACAAATAATAAAAAATTAAATAATTTTAAGATAAATGGCCAATCTTGTCAATATGTGAGCGTCGTAAAGTTTTGATAAGCACTTGAAATACTAAAAATAAAATGTCAAACTTTAGTACCGAATTCAAAGAAGATGTCTCCTTTATCCATGCATAATAACTTAAAAAAATTAGTTTGTTAAGAAGTGTATCTTAAAATATGTGCATACACATTTATGTTCAAAGTGTAAAATGTACCTACATAAACTTTCCCATGAATACCATCAAATCATTGATCTTGAAGGGAATCTATGTATGCATGTACTAAGAAAATATATGAGCAAATTAAAAAGTCGATGCAATTTACAGTCGAAAAGTATAGTTTTTGTATAGATTTCGTACTGAAGGAACAATTTCATTTCCCAACACTGTGCGACATGCGGGCGCCACCATAAACAAGTGTGAGCTAAAAGTGAGTGTGTGTTAGTGTGCCTTCGCATGCTATTTAAGAGATAGGATTACTCGTTGTAATCAAACCCCGTTTTAATTATGTTTAATACATAATTTCTTTATTATTAGTAAAACACTAATTTAGTTATGCTTTATACAAAAAACATTTATTTAACTATAAGAACAACTGCGTTAACATTTAAAGTATTCTTAAACACGGACGTCTGATCGCTAGCTAACGATGACTCTAACTAACTCACTGACTAGCTAATTAATTTCCGATCGCGCTGATGAGCGCCTATTATACATATACATTAGGGCGGGTCAATTTGTATGGATCGATTTTTTTCGACATTGTTCCTAGCATATTCGGATTCTTCATAAAATTCTAAGAAAAAAATTCCTCCAGACCATAGCTCTAAAGTTAATTTCGAGCCTGCGCATTTTTAAAAGAAGATATCTTATATATAAAAATGAATTGCTGTCCGTTAGCCTCGCTAAGACTCGAAAACAGCTTGACCGATTTTAATATTTTTATTTTTTCGGTTTATTTTTTATAATATCCGGATGGTTAAAAACAGAAAAAATAGAGAGTTGCCACCTGTTTAAAAATTTCAATATAAGTAAATTAATTACATAAATTAGATATTGCAATATGGGTGTCAAAAGAAAGAGGTCATGAACGCTTACAGGCGAAAATATTTTTGAGGGGGGTTGCCACCTGTTTCAAAATTGAATTAAATGAAATTGATAAGATAAATTAAATATTGCAATATGGGTATCAAATTAAAAAGGTTTAAAAAGGCTTACTACTGAAAATATTTTTGAGTCGAGTTGCCACCAATTTCGAAAATTTAATTCAATTAAGTTAATAAGATAAAGTATGTATGTATTATAATATAGGTGTCGAACGAAAAGTATTTGAAAAATTATTGATTAAGAAATATTTTCTATAGGCCTGCTACCTACCTGAGCGGTAAAAACTAAAAGCCATACTCGCAAATATTATTCAAAGCTTTTGAGGCTCGTATCAATGTGGAATACTGTAACTCCGTCAAGTTAGTGTTTATTGATGGCAAACAAAGTACTATCATGTTTGGCAATGATATCACCCCATCGAACAATGCACTTAGCCTCGATATAAAAAGAGAACAAAAGCCGAAGTATTAGCCGAAGCAGTTCACACAAATGTTCCACAATTGAACTAACAAAAAAATATGGCCTATGAATCTTTTATAGAAGCTGTGAACACTGGAGTAAAATTTAAACAAAAAAACAAAACCGACTTCAATTCTCATATACAAATTTAAGTGTACCATTATTTTCTTCGTGGCCCAATTATAGGATCTACACTCAATTAGTAGGAGACTACCTCTGAGGAACCACCTTTCCTTTCAAAAAGAATTATAGAAAACGGATAACGTAGTCCACAGTTACGCGGTAACATACATAAAAACATATTCCGACGAATTGATAAAATGTGCAGATTAATATTTAATAAAGTGTTACGGATATATTTTTTTAATACAAACCTGTGCTTGGGAGTTTATTGATACGAAAAATTAATTTCTGATATCTATTTTTTATTGAAAGAACCGCAAGATTGCACTACAAAGCAAATTACATATTTTTTACTATTGTAACGGGAGAAGTTGCTGTATGTATTTTTTTATATGTACAGTGTCGAACAAAAGTTTTGGCGCAGTAAATTTTCGCATTACATATATGCAAAAGTTTTAATTTATTTCCGATAATTTTTTATAAAAACATAGTTCATACTTAATGTGGCCAACCGTACTTCTTTCGGAAGTACAGTACTTCTTTTTTCGCTCTTGTACTTTGTACTTCGAAGTACAGTCAAATGTACTTATTTGCGATATTTTGTACTTCAGGAGGAAGATTTTGTAACCAGTTAGCGACAATTTTCGGATCGCTATCGCACTTTTTGACGCATGATATAAATGTTTTTGCGTCTAAAAGTGCGATAGTGATTCGAAAATTGTCGCTAACTGGTTTCAGAATCTTCCCCCAGGTCCTGTAATTCTCCGATCTTCTGGACGATCGTCACATGGTCTGGGCGATAATTTCGTTGAAGCCATTAAAGTCGCCGCGGACCGATGGCATCATACCTGCACAGCAGCGAAGGACTCTGAAGGTGTCGTGCGATTGGTTGGATCCCATTCCTGCGAACTGCGTGAGGACCGGGTACATCCCGAAGGCTTGGAGTTCAGCCCGAAGGACGGAAAAGGCGCACATGTTTCCCCTAAGTATTTTAGGTCAATCAGTCCCTCTTTGTTTTTTCTAAAAACTCTAGAGAGACTAATAGACCTCTGCATAAGAAACGCGATTGCTTGTGACTGTCTTTCAAGAGCTCCGTATGCTTATTGCAAGAAGAGGTTGGTGAATATCGCCCTGCATACATTGGTAAAGTGGTCATAGGAACTTTTCACGCATAAAGATTATGCAGTAGGGGCCTTCTTCGATATCGAGGGGGCCTTGAACAATGTCCCACCAGAGGCAACAGTCGATATAAATATTTATAATCAGGGGGTCGAAACCAACCTAATAAGGCTTATCTACAGCTCACTACCGCGAATAGAACTGTCGCGGCGGAGTGGGGACGCGCCTGCACTCAATGCAGAGTCATTTGGAGCACTCCACAAGGTGGTGTTCTCTCTGTCCTGCTCTGGATTGCGGTTGTAAAAGACCTTCTAGAGAAACTGGATAAAGTGGGCTGTCGGGTGATCGCCTATGTAGATGATGTGGAAATTTTGGTTAAGGGACGATTTCTAGACACCATTTTTGTTCTGGCTCAGGGTACCTGAACCAGGTAACTAGGTGGGCGATCAACGGCAGCTGTCGTGGAAGCCTAATATTGAGGTAGGGGTCTCTCGCCCAAATTAATTCATTAGCTCTAGGAAACCAGATTTAAGCTTATATTGTTTCAGGGAGCCCTTCTCTGGTTGAACTTACTAGAGAAGGCTACACTTGTACACCACACCTACACTGGCGCTTAACATACATATGTTGAACACGGCGCCTGCGGATATTGCAGACAGAATTGTCGCATCACGATCTGCTATTGGACTTAGGGGAACCGGGTCCTTTCGTGACATAAAAAAGGAAAAGATGTTTCTCTGCTGCAGCAAATGTTTTAATAGGGCACTTTTAAACATGTTACCTCTCAAGGGCTAGTGATGGGGGTTCTGACAGGCCATTACGCGATTGGTATTCATGCGTTGAGACTTGAAATTTCAACTGATCCTCGCACTTTTCAACAAACACTGAGCTCTCAGGGATCGAAATTAGCCGCATTCGAAATTTCATAATCGACTCGCGTCAACTTAACCTAACCTGTACTTCTTTGTGCTATGAAATAGTTGGTCACATTATTCATACTACACTAAAACACATAAAAATCAAATGTGTAAACTTTGTGAAAAACTCAGGAAAATTCAATAAATCAGCATACTAATTTGCAATTTTATATTCAAACCTGCACTTTGATAAACTAAAATTAAATGTATTATTAAACTGCATACTTGGAATTTTTCTAAAAAATACTTTGCCTATATTGCGAAAAATTTACTGTGCCAATACTTTTGTTCGTTACTGTAAGTAAATAAACCCTTAACTTTAAAAACCCAAAAAAAAATTTACAATATTTCAAAATTATTTTTCGAATCATAAATTTTTTTATGATTAACAACGTATTTATATTTTTTTGTTTGGTTTTAGATCCTTTTTGCTTTCAACACGAGGTATCTTTTTTCTAGTTTATATTATCATAGCCATAACTCCCTCTCTATTTCTATCAATCCATCAATAAATTTTATAATTTTTTTTTTGGCATTTTTCCTAAATTTTCGGTAAGGAATAAGCGAGTAGATGAAAAATATATAAACCGTAAGAACGGCCCATATATATGTATATGAAAGAATACACACATGCGACGACTCTAGCCATTGTGTGTTACTCCTTTAAATCATAGTTATTTTTTTCTTATGGTATTAAAAAAATATCGTTCGTAACACTTTAGTAAATATTTATCCGTATATTAACTGAGTATATATTAAAGACTAGAAGATGACCCGGTGAACTTCATATCATCTATAATTTATTTGAATTTCACTTTGATCAAATATAACAAATCTTCAAAATGCAATATAATGAGATCACTAATACTGCCTGCTGTTATAGCTGATAAAAGATTCCACACCTATGAGATGTGCCACGCCCCTTTTTACAAACTCATTTATATACATATATCTTTCCATAAGCACCTACCATAGGTATCTGTGCATTTCAAATTTCGAGTTCATGTGACTATAATTCCGAAGTTAGAGCTGATTAAAAATTTTCACTATGGGAGGTACCCCTCCCCCCTTGGCGAGTTTCAATTTTTTTACCCTATTATAGGTCCAGGAGTCATGGCAATACTTTGGCAAAATTTTATTCGATTCTGTACATCCGTTCAGGCTGCAACCTGGTACATACATACATACATACTTCCACAAATATATAGTAGATTTGCTTTGAAGCGCCATCTTGCGGTTCTTTAGATAAAAAATAGATATCAGAAATTAATTTTTCGTATCACAAAACTCCCGAGCACAACTCTTTATTACAAAAAAAAAAAACATTCCTAACACTTTAGTAAATATTAATCTGATTCTGGACTTAGTATTAATTAAAAATATTTTCTTTTAAAATTGCGCAGGCTCGAAATTGATTCTAGAGCTATGGTCTAAAGGGCTTTTTTTCTTAGAATTTTATGTAGAATCCGAATCTGCTAGGAACGATGTCGAAAAAAAAATTGACCCGCCCTAATATACATATGTACATATAACTCGCCCTCCTCAAAATGAACTCGCGTCCCTGCGATTCACACGTGAAAACCTTAGGGTTTATACCTACATATATAGACATACACCTAAAGAATAGGTTACATAGGTTACATATATAAAAATCGAGAAATGCTTATGCATTAAATGTATTAATCTAAATACTACGCCATTTGATAACGGGGCCATTTAGCTATAATATCTTTATTGGGTATTCCGACTTTCTCTTTTTTTCATATTTAACGATCCGTTGTTTTAGTTTGCTATCTGCATTTGAAATAAGTTTAATATTTTCAAGGTACTTTACAATTTATACTTGGGCGAACGTAAAAGTATGTATGTACATTTTTAATTTTCTATATATATATATAATTTTCTTTTTGCTTGATATTAAGCTAAAATTATTATTCCTGACATTTTAAAATCACTTAAATACATAACGTACATTCATACATAGAGATATGTATAACTTTTCATACCATTTTTATTCCATTAAACAGACATATAGATCTATATAAACATCTTTATACATATATTATTATCGAATGCTGAAAATGATTTTTTTTTTTTATGGGCCAAATATATAGAGAAAATATGGTTACATTAACATTGCGATGTCATTGGACCTGACCACCTCTGGTCCAACGCTGCATAACATGGGACCATTTCTGGTCCACCGCAGCCTAACATGGGACCACCTAGACAACTACTCCTTTTGGACAACCGTATTTTAATCTTCAGATAGCTTGCGTATAATTAATCCAAATTTGACTTTTCAAACAGGTGGCAATCCTTTTCAAAATATATTCAAACTACAGTTTTTAAGCCT